ACATAAAGCAAGTTCTTAATGACTTACAAAAAGACTTAGACTCCCACACAATAATAGTGGGAGACTTTAACACCCCATTGTCAGTATTAGACAGATCAACCAGAAAGAAAATTAACAAGGATATCCAGGACTTGAACACAGACCTGGACCAAGCAAATCTAATAGACATTTACAGAACGCTCCACCCCAAATCCACAGAATATACATTCTTCTCAGCACCACATCACACCTACTCTAAAATTTACCACATAATTGGAAGTAAATCGCTTCTCAGCAGATGCAAAAGAATGGAAATCCTAACAGTCTCTCAGACCACAGTGCAATCAAGTCAGAACTCAGAATTCAGAAATTAACTCAGAACCACACAGCTCCATGGAAACTGAAGAACTGGCTCTTGAATGTTGACTGGATAAACAATGAAATGAAGGCATATATAAAGTGGTCTCTTTGAAACCAATGAGAATGAAGACACAACATACTAGAATCTCTGGGACACATTTAAAGCAGTGTCTAGAGGAAAATATATAGCAGTAAATGCCCACATGAGAAGCAAGGGAAGATCTAAAATTGACATCCTGTCATCAAAAGTGAAAGAGCTAGATGAGCAGGACCAAAAAAAAAAAAAAAAAAAAAAACCACTAGCAGAAGACAAGAAATAACTAGGATCAGAGCAGAACTGAAGGAGACAGAGACATACACAAAAAATCAATAAATTTTCAAAAAAAATCAATAAATCCAGGAGCTGGTTTTTGGAAAAGATCAACAAAATAGACCACTAGCCAGATTAATAAAAATGAAAAGAGAGAATAATAGATGCAATAAAAAATGATAAAGGGGATATCACCACAGAGTACACAGAAATACAAACCATCAACAGAGATTATTACAAACAACTCTGTGCACATAAACGAGTAAACCTGGAAGAAATGGATATATTCCTGGACACTTGCATCCTCGCAAGCCTAAACCAGGAAGAAGTCAAAACCCTGAATAGACCAATAACAAGGTCTGAAGTTGAGGCAGCAATTAAGAGCCTACCACCCAAAAAAAGCCCAGGCCCAGATGGACTCACAGCCAAATTCTGCCAGACATAAAAAGAGGAGCGGGTACCACTCCTTCTAAAACTATTACAAACAATCCAAAAAGAGGGAATCCTTCCCAAATTATTTTATGAGACCAACATCATCCTAATACCAGAACCCGGCAGAGACTCAGCTAGAAAAGAAAACTTCAGCCCAATATCCACGATGAACATAGATGCAAAAATCTTCAATAAAATACTGGCAAACAGAGTGCAACAACCCATCAAAAAGCTTATCCACCATGATCAAGTAGGATTCACCCCAGGGATGCAAGGCTGGTTCAACATACACAAGTCTATAAACATAATTCACCACATAAACAGAGCCAAAGACAAAAACCATATGATAATCTCAAATGATGCAGGGAATGCCTTTGACAAAATTCAACAGCCTTTATATTAAAACCCCTGAATAAACTAGGTATTGACGGAACGTATCTCAAAATACTAAAAGCTATTTATGACAAACCAACAGCCAATATCATACTGAATGGGCAAAAACTGGAAGTATTCCCTTTGAAATCTGGCACTAGACAAGGTTGCCCTCTCTCACCACACCTATTCAATATAGTACTGGAAGTTTTAGTCAGAGCAATCAGGCAAGAAAAAGAAATAAAGGATATTCAAATAGGAAAGGAGGAAGTCAAATTGTCTCTATTTGCAGACGACATGATTGTATAACTACAAGACCCCATCATCTCAGCCCAAAATCTCCTGAAACTGATAAGCAACTTCAGCAAAGTCTCAGGATACAAAATCAATGTCCAAAAATTACAAGCATTCCAATATACCAATAACATACTGAAAGACAGCCACATCAGGAATGAACTGGCATTCACAATTGCTAAAAGAGAATAAAATACCTGGGAATATAACTAACAAGGGATGTAAAGGACCTCTTCAAGGAGAACTACAAACCACTGCTCAACAAAATAAGAGAGGACACAAACAGATGGAGAAACTTTCCATGTTCATGGTTAGGAAGAATCAATGTCATGAAAATGGCCATACTGCCCAAAGTAATTTACAGATTTAACCCTATTCCCATCAAGCTACCAATGACCTTCTTAACACAACTGGAGAAAAACACCTTAAACTTCGTATGTAACCAAAAGAGAGCCTGCATAGCCAAGTCAATTCTAAGCAAAAAGTACAAAGTGGGAAGCACCACACTACCAGACTTCAAACTATACTACAAGGCTGTAGTAATCAAAACAGCATGGTACTGGTACCAAAACAGAAATAAGTACCAGTGGAACAGAACAGAGGCCTCAGAGGCAACACCACACACCTACAACCATCTGATCTTTGAAAAACCTGACAAAAACAAACAATGGGGAAAGGGGTCACTGTTTAATAAATGGTGTTGGGAAAACTGGCTAGCCATGTGCAGAAAGCAGAAACTGGACCCCTTCCTGACACCTTACACTGAAATTAACTCCAGATGGATTAAAGACTTAAACATAAGACCTAACACCATAAAAACCCTAGAAGAAAACTTAGGCAAAACCATTCAGGACATAGGCATAGGAAAGGACTTCATGACCAAAACACCAAAAGCATTGGCAACAAAAGCCAAAATAGACAAATGGGACATAATGAAACTTCACAGCTTCTGCACAGCAAAACAAACAGTCATTAGAGTGAATCGGCAAACAACACAATGGGAAAAAATATTTTGCAGTCTACCCATCTGACAAAGGGCTGATACCCAGAATATACAAAGAAGTAAAACAGATTTACAAGAAAAATACAAACAAGCCCATTCAAAAGTAAGCAAAGGACATGAACAGAGACTTTACAAAAGAAGACATAACATGAGGCCAACAAACATACGAAAAAATGCTCATCATCTCTGGTCATTAGAGAAATGCAAATCAAAACCACATTGAGATTCCACCTTACGCCAGTTAGAATGACGATCATAAAAAAATCTGGAGACAACAGATGCTGGAGAGGATGTGGAGAATTAGGAACACTTTTACACTATTGGTGGGAGTGTAAATTAGTTCAACCATTGTGGAAGACAGTGTGGCGATTCCTTCAGAACCTAGAAATAGAAATTCCATTTGACCCAGCAATTAATTCCATTATTGGGTATATATCCAAAGAATTATAAATCATTCTACTGTAAGGACACATGCACATGCACACAAATGTTCATTGCAGCACTGTTTACAGTATCAAAGACCTGGAACCAACCCAAATGCCCATCGATGATAGACTGGACAGGGAAAATGTGGCACATATACACCATGGAATACTATGCAGCCATCAAAAATGATGAATTTATGTTCTTTGTAGAAACATGGATGAACCTGGAAACCATCATTTGCAGCAAATTGACACAAGAACAGAAAATCGAACACCACATGTTCTCACTCATAGATGGGTGTTGAACAATGAGAATACATGGACGCAGGGAGGGGAGCATCACACATTGGGGTCTTTGGGGGGAAATAGCAGAGGGACAGTGGGGGGTGGGGAGTTGGGGAGAAAGAGCATGGGGAGAAATGCCAGATATAGGTGAAGGGGAGGAAGGCAGTACATCACACTGCCATGTGTGTACCTACGCAACAAACTTGCATGTTCTTCACAGGTACCCCAAAACCTAAAATGCAATAAAAAATTAAAAATAAAATAAACAAATAAATAAATATAAAGAAGGTTGGGCCAAGCACCGTGGCTCACACTTATAATCCCAGCATTTTAGGTTGAGGCCAGTGGATTATGAGGTCAAGAGATCAAGACCATCCTTGCCAAAATGATGAAACCCCATCTCTACTGAAAATACAAAACTGAGCAGGCATTGTGATGCATGCCTGTGGTCCCAGCTACTTGGGAGGATGAGGCAGGAAAATTGCTTGAATACAGGAGGCAGAGGTTGCAGTGAGCCGAGATCATGCCACTGCACTCCAGCCTGGTAACAGAGCAAGAATCCATCTTAAAGAAAAACCACAATTTGCAGAACTGAATGTGAAAAGGAAAAAAAAACGTAGAAGATTAACTGCATGCGGTAGAAGAACCGCCACCTGTTCATCTGATGAGCACATCGTGATTCCTAACTCAGCAAAAGAATCCCCACTCCGGGAACAACTAAGTGAACTGCTGTTTCCAAAATGCATTTTTACAGTTGAAAATCTGTTTCCCAAGCCCTCCTTCCAGTCCTTGGCACTGTGACAAGCGTTTCTTACTTCTGGGGACGTGGGGTTGGAGATGCAAAAGGGAAAGTCACCAAGGCTGAGTTGAGCTTCCTGCATCCTTGCAGCCAGGGCCAGAGGGCCATGAGGTGCTCCCTAGCTCCCGCCGTCCACGCTGGAATCACACGGCACGGCTCTGCTGCAGTGGCCGGGCTTACCTCCATGAAGTGATTGCTCAGGGTGAGTCCCGAGTCATTCTTGAAGGTCTGGCTGACACAGAGATGCCTCTTGTTGCTGCTCTCGTCCCAGTGCTTCCCATAACTCACCTCCAGTTCAAGCGATTCTCCTGCCTCAGCCTCCGGAGAAGTGGGATTACAGATGCCCGCCACTACGCCTGGCTAATTTTTGTATTTTTAGTAGACATAGGATTTCACCATGTTGGCCAGGCTGGCCTTGAACTCCTGACCTCATGATCTATCCGCCTCAGCATCCCAAAGCGCTGGAATTACAAGCATGAGCCACTAAGCCTGGCCTTTTTTTTTCTTCTTCTTCTTTTTTTTAACTTATTATTTGTTTATTTTAGAGATAAGATCTCACCCTGTTGCGTAGGCTGGAGTACAGTGGCACCATCTTGGCTCATTGCAACCTCTGCCTCCTGGACTGAAGCAACCCTGGATGAAGAGACATAAGACTGAGGCTGAAGTGGCAGCCCTGGATCCACTCCTATGTGGCTATGCTATTGGGAGCAAGTTCATCTCTTTAGGAATGAGCTCAGGGTACTCAGATCACCTTGCTAGACTCTGGTGCTCTCTCTGGATGTCCCACCTGGCCTGGACACCCACCTTGTGGCTGAGGCTGGTATCTGTGTGCTGTGGAGCTCGTGGCCCAGCTCCAGCTGGTAAGCGCCATCTAAGCCACTCTCTGTCGGCAGCCTCTGGCCGGTGCTGCACTGGTGCGCTGGCTGCTTTGCCTGAGTTGTGAAGATTGGTCAGCGGACCCCTGTCCTCCTCTGCCAGGCAGCCCTCCACCAGGGCTCCAAGAGGAGGAGGGCCCAGCCCAGCCTGCCCTCAGCCGTGTCCTCCCAGCCCTGTGGTCTGCTTCACCTGTCACTCCATTAGAACCTGTTCTTGGGGAGGTCTTAAGAGATGGATGAATGTCCCCTCAAAAAACACTCATTTCTTTTTTAATGAGCAGGTACTAAGTCCTACTCAGAGCCCACAGAATGACTAATGGAAAATCCTGTGGTGACAGCATATCTTAGCCAGCAGAGCCACAGCCTCAAGAAACAGGGCAGGCCCTGCCACCTCCAACTGCCCCACAGCCAGGCGTGCAGTGCCTTACCCAGGAGGCTGCACTGGATCCTCAGGGAGCTGGTCCAGAGCCGGCCCTGCTGCTGCAGCAGGCTAAGGGCACACAGCCCCGCCAGTCCTGACACGACGAGCTCGGCACCCACTGTGGCCGCCCAGCATCCATCCTCCTCCTTCCTTTCCAGCAGTGCTGCCGGGACAGAGAGCAGGCAGGAGAAAGGGTCAGCCCCCAGGGACCAACACCCCCAGGCCCAGGCAAAGATGGGACTCGGGATACGCCAGGGGCCTTGGGGTTGGAGGGCTCCTTGAAAAGCCAACACCTGTGCCCTGCACTACAGCCCACAGACAGGCCTGATCACGGTTCACTGCAGCCTTGACCTCCCAGGCTCAATTGATCCTCCCACCTCAGCCTCCCAAGTCGCTGGAACTACAGACATGTGCCACCACCTTGGCTAATTTTGTATATATATACACATACAGATATTTTTTGTAGAAACAGGAGTCTCACTGTGTTTCCCAAGCTGGTCTTGAACTCCTGGACTCAAGCAATCCTCCTGCCTTGGCTTCCCAAAGTTCTGGGATTATAGGCATGAATGTCACCCAGGCTGGAGTGCAGTGGAGAG